CACGGGCTCCATCAGTGCAAGCTTCTCTAGGGTCTACAGAACTTCTACACACATGTTGAGATAACAGGTGCCTTACTAGTAGTAACAAGAAGCTACTAGGAACAAGTGCATCGCTTCTAGTAACAAGTGCCTTACTACTAGTAACAATAATTTAATTAGAATTGTAATTACTACGTCTGGCACGGTTCCCTTTTGATCCGCTCCCGACTCCGTGAGCCGCAGAGGTTTCTCCGCTGCGTCTCGGGTTCGGTTCACGGACGTCGGCTCACCAGGTTGGCTCCTTTTCGAAACGTAGATGATCACGTTTGAGCTTATTAAAGCCGTTTCTTTATTTTCTTTTCTTTTGTAGTCAAGAAATGTCAAGACTCCAAAAGGATTCTATATTATAAGTCTATATATATATATGTCTGAACTTTTGTATTCCTCGAGGTCTTTGGAGGCACCATGCGCTTTTGCTCGTCCTTTGTCGCTCAGCAACGCCTCAGATTTACAACACCAGCGGCAACGTCACCGAAATCATGGTGGAATCCTTGTGCCTTGGATGGCCATGGCAGTGATATCAACTGATGTTCAACATGCTCAAGTACCACCTTCTACTTGATCAAATGCAAGCCGTGCCTTTTTGGACCAAAAGATCTTAGCCCCAGACCACGGTCGAGCCGGTCAGATCTTGATCTTGACTCTCAAACAAAAGGCACTGATAGACACCACCCCCTCAAGAAAGCTCGTGCGGCTCAACACTTTTCTATGATGCAAAGATATCCGGTGACGATCTTGGCATGTCTGCGATGCAAGGCTTTTGAACACCTCTTATCACTTCCTGGTCTCAGGCACGCAATGTCCGAAAACTTAAGAGTTCAACACCACTTGGTTTCTGTTCAACTGTTTGATCGTTTTAGATTCTGACGTCAACTTTCTTCATTCCAGTGTCATACGTCCAGTACTGTGGTGTTTTGTTGTGTGATCCCCCATCCTCCCCATTCAACAAACTTTCCCTAGACTGTCATGGTTTGTCACTCATGCCAGTTTTTTCAGCAGAAGCTCCATCTTGACAGCTTCTTGGATTTTGGGTTCATTTGGTAGCCGGACACCCTCACAATTCCCTCACCTGCAGGTGTCAACCTCTTGGGCGCGGGCGAAAGCAAGAGCATCTGGGTCGACCCCTTGACCGTGTGTTGGGTCGGATGCAGTTCTGGAACGTTTGGAGAAGACAGGGTGAAGCGGTGAAGTTACAAGTAACAAGTAACAAGTGCATCGCTAGTAGTAACAAGTGCATCGCTTCTAGTAACAAGTGCCTTACTACTAGTAACAAGAAGCTATTAGAAACAAGTGCCTTACTAGTAGTAACAATAAGCTACAAGTACCTAGACTCTAGGATCTCTCTAGGCGATTCTTTGGGTCTGTTGGGGCAGACAAAAAGGATGCCTGCATCCTGGCGGTCGCTGGCGAATCGACAGGTGCTGACCAGACCCGTGGTGCCTCAGCCCGTGGCTGCCCCGCGGGTCGGGTCACGAACGGCGTCCAAGCTGAACGTGACCTGGACAGCGCCTGAGAATGGAGGCTGGAGATGACGGGGCGATGCAGAGGGTGGGGGGGTCAACAGCGAGCGGTTTGTGTTGATCATCTTTCTGATTTCCAAACTTGTTGTTTCTTGGACGTCCAATCTTGAGGATGGGTGCATGAGAGATTCCTGGACGCGGGTCAGATGCAGGATTCAGATGGATTCAGGCAAAAAGGGGGCTGACGTGTCCTGCAGAGCCCTGCGAGTCGAAGATTTGATTCCTGGCTCGACAGACGTAGGTCCGAAGTCCTAGAGGTGGTGCATATGCCGTATGAGTGAAAACAACTCACCAGGCCTTCGCATTGACTTCTACACAGTGGAGATGTTTGAGAATGGTCTGTTACCTGGCTGGGAGAGGACTTCAATCGCAATCAAGCCAGACTCTTTTCGACTCAACAATCCAACAGGAACCTCAGGGTGGTCATATTTTTTTTGGGAATAACATGTTGTGACAGAGGCAAGTCTCACTCCGACTCCAACGTCCCTTCTGCTTTTGGGCTTTCCAACGTCCAACAGATCGACCAATTCCTTTGCGTCACGTCTATCGCGGGTGATCGTCACAGCGGGCTGAAAAGTACAGAACGGCCCAATGGTTCGCTTGAGACTGCGGTCAGTCATGGGGGACGGGCGACCAAAGATAGACGGATGGCTTACTGTGTGCCGATGACCAGACCTTTCCGAGCGCAAAGGACTTGGACGAAAATGGACCTTGTCCCTTTCTGAGTGTGCCAGGCAAATAGGCATGCTTACAATCTCAGGTGATCTGGTGTGAGAAAAACACTATATTATCAATATATATAGTCTTGTCTAGAGTCTAGAGTCATTTTAAAGTCCAAAGCTGAGCAAGCTTTTAAGATGTCCTGTGAAGCTCTTCTCTTCACAACCTAGCAGCTCAACATGGGCTGTTTGGTGACTTCAGAAGAGCAGATCAGATTCTGAGCCTTGTGTAACACTCAGGAACGCTTTACCATCCGAGGTGTATAGGGCGGCTTCTGACATTTGTGCTAGGCATTTGGAGCAAGCATGGGGTGATGAACACTCGGATTGTTTGTGTAGAAGAAGCGTGACCCCTTGGCCATTGTGAAGAATCGACTTGTAGATGCATCACCTTTATGAGCAGTGGATGATTGCAGGAGCATCACCTCTACAGGAGCTGCCAAAACAACTCTTCTATACTGCCCTGCCGCTCACAGTGGGCTGCAGGGTAACTTGAGAAGAGCATATAATCTAATGAACCCTGTGTAACATCCCGCAATGCTTTGCCATGCGGGTTGTATAGGGCGGCTTCTGGCATCACGTAGCAATACGCATATGGAACCGCATTCTTGTTGTCCCAAGATGCTTGAACCTTTCTTATCCAATCCAAGGAGATTGGTGGAAGTTTCTGTTGCAGTTCTTTCAAGATGCATTTGTGAAGACGTGTTGGGAGTCAAGGACAGATCTTCTATATGCTAAGCAGAATCAAGCTCTTCCACACTGCCACGCTACCCACAGAAGGTTGCATGGTAACTTAAGAAGAGAATATCATTGTATGAGCCTTGTGTAACATCCAGGAATGCTTCACCATCCGAGGTGTATAGGGCGGCCTCCTACATTGTCAGACGAAATTCAGCAAGCAAGGACGCGCTTCTGAGATCTTGCCTAAAGACAGTTCTAGCTCCTGAGAGCTATCTTGGGCAAAGATGATGCAGGGAGTTCAAGCATATGTGGGGAACAAACTTGTGAGAGGTCTTGTGTAGCTCTTCTCTTCACAACCTAGCAGCTCGACATGGGCTGTTTGGTGACTTCAGAAGAGCAGATCAGATTCTGAGCCTTGTGTAACACCCAGGAATGCTTTCCCATCCGAGGTGTATAGGGCGGCTTCTGACATTTCCTGGTGCTAGGAAGTTGGAGCAAGCATTGAGGGATGAGCACTCGGATCATATATGTTGGATTTGTTGCAAAGGAAACCTGCCATCGAACCCGTCTGAGGTAAGTAGACATAACATAAGTGTCTAAACAGCTGCTTGATGTCTTTTGACATCCAACAGATCTAGAGTTTGGAGGGTGTTTGCCGTCGAGGTCAGATGTTGCAGGAATGGTGTAGGGCTGTTTGATGACCAGAGCTACTTGAGTCTACAGGAGCTGCCAAAACAACTCTTCTATACTGCCCTGCCGCTCACAGTGGGCTGCAGGGTAACTTGAGAAGAGCATATAATCTAATGAATCCTGTGTAACATCCCGCAATGCTTTGCCATGCGGGTTGTATAGGGCGGCTTCTGACATCACATAGCAATACGCATTTGGAACCGCATTCTTGTTGTCCCAAGATGCTTGAACCTTTCCTATCCAATCCAAGGAGATTGGTGGAAGTTTCTGTTGCAGTTCTTTCAAGATGCATTTGTGAAGACGTGTTGGGAGTCAAGGACAGATGTTCGGTATGCTAAGCAGAATCAAGCTCTTCCACACTGCCACGCTACCCACAGAAGGTTGCATGGTAACTTAAGAAGAGAATATCATTTCATGAGCCTTGTGTAACATCCAGGAATGCTTCACCATCCAAGGTGTATAGGGCGGCCTCCTACATTGTCAGACGAAATTCAGCAAGCAAGGACACGCTTCTGAGATCTTGCCTAAAGACAGTTCTAGATCCTCAGAGCTATCTTGGGCAAAGATGATGCAGGGAGTTCAAGCATATGTGGGCAACAAACTTGTGAGAGGTCTTGTGTAGCTCTTCTCTTCACAACCTAGCAGCTCAACATGGGCTGTTTGGTGACTTCAGAAGAGCAGATCAGATTCTGAGCCTTGTGTAACACCCAGGAACGCTTTACCATCCGAGGTGTATAGGGCGGCTTCTGACATTTCCTGGTGCTAGGCAGTTGGAGCGGCAAGTTTGTCGTCCCAAGATGCTCTGAGCATTGCATCATGTCAAATCCAAGACATGTTCTTAAGGGGTTTGGTATTGGAAAGCTCCTGCAATTTGGGCTGGTCCTTGGTTTCAGCAACCTGTCAGCCACCTGATCCTTTTCGATGAGTATGCCTCTTTTTCTACACATCGGAGAATGTCTTCGGCTCATGATGAGTTCAGTTCCTGACCTATGAGGCCTTAGAAGTGGTGTGTGGGGTAAACCGATCATTGACTGCAGTCACAGGACACCCATGATCCCTGACTCCCATAATCCCTGCGTCGTGCTCCTCTGTGCACCTCTCTCTCCGAGGTTCCTAGAGGTGGGCAATGTGACCCAAAATGCTCTGGAACTCGTGGGCCTTCAAGCCAACCAGAGCTACGTGCTGCGGACCTTCGCTTGGAATGCGCTTGGAAGGCATGTTGGGTTGAGGGAAGCTGAGTACAGTATTTAATGGTGCTTACAGTACTCAATTGGGATGTTGCGGATGTCTTAGGACATCTCAACTCTCCTAAGCACGACTCTCGGTGCGTTGATTGCAGGTCTTCCGAAGGTGACATCGCAGTGCTGGAGACGGCTGATCCCAGCGTGCCAGAGCATGTAGAGCATGTGGCCGCTCAGCAAGAGGTCGAAAGAGCAGTGGATGAAGTACTGAGATTGGACTGGAAAAGATGAGAAAAGGATCACCAGGCCGCAGGCCACCAATTTTCCCTTTTTGCTTGGCCTCTGACTGTGGACTTAAACTGGCAGATTTGGAATCGGAGTACCTTCTCTATTTTTGTGTTGCAGCATGTCGCAACATTATTTTGTTAACATCCTTTAGCTTTTTGTCCCATGGACACCGGTTTGGTAGCCCCCGCAACACTTTTGACTCCCACCAGTCCACATGAATACCCTTGACTCCACTCGGCTCGGCCTCGACAGAAAGCTTCTGTCTCGCTCCTCTCCCCTGCACCGGGCGCGGAGTCTTCAGTAAGGCCATTGATGTGGTGAACTGGAGCGCCCATGTCGCTTGGGCGGAGCCGCTGGAGACGGGCGGCCTCGAGCTATTCTACCAGGCTGGAGAGGAAGAGATCGGATCGGCAGCTGGACGTGATGGGTTGGCGACCTGCACGGAAGGGTGTGGCACAGGATTTTGGACCATATCTTGCTACCTTTTGTGGGGTTTTGGAGGAACATGCACCTTAGCAAGAATTTGGATCTCTCGACATGTTGCAAAGTGTTGGGACACGCCATTCTCCTAGATTGGCCATGAAGGGATTGTGGACATTTTCGGGAGGCAATTGGTGAGGAGTCGATTCCCATGACTTTGGATTTGTTGAATTGCTTGGAGTTCTGAACACTATCTCTTGAAGACCTGGCACCTCCAAGAGACCTCGCTCTCTCGTTCATGCGCCACTTTCCCGCCGCAGGTCGCAGCAAGTGCCGAACACCATGAATTGGTAAGCCCAGGGGGTGAGGAGTTGGAGCATGCACCGAAGGAGTGTTTTGGACGGTTGACTGATGCTGAAAGAAGTCGCTGCCGAGATTTTGAAAGACGAACCACACGAGCCTTGTGAGAGGATCGTGGAATGATGCACAAAAGAGCTCAGCGTTCCCGAAGCAAGCATGTAACAAGAAGCTACTAGTAACAAAGGGCATCGCTACTAGTAACAAGGGCATTATTACGAACAAATATATATGGCAATCGAGAAGCGAGCGTTCGATGAAATGTGTTTGAAACTGTAGCGGTGGCTCACAGAAGGCTCGGGGCCAAGGAGTCCTGATGGAGCCACCGAAGGATGACGAGCCCGCAGGGGTAGCTAGGTTGTTGAAGGAAGGGTGGCAACGCTCCACCCTTGCCTTCTTCAACGACATGCCGAAAGATGAGATCGCGGAGCTCCTGCCGGCCATCGTCGATGGATGGACCGACGAGGACTACATGATGTTGAAAAGAGAGGCCAAGCGACAGAAGCGGAGACTTGACTTGGACGACAACCTGTTCCTCCAGCATCAGGCCCTGCTGTTTCGAGATCGGTCTTTCATCGACCGCAAGCTGGAGGACACCCCGCTTGGCCAGGCGCGAATGGGCGCGGAGATTGAGGTCGTGAGGGGCACCCTTCCGCGTGTTGGATGGAGGTCTGGAATGCATAGGAGGCTGACAAGGCGCTGGCTGACCAGAAGCTTCGCCTTACCCAGCCTTGGTAAGCTAAAGAGGGAGGAGACTGGAACGGCGAAGGAGCACAACCCCAAAAAGATGCGGAAGTTGAAACACATGGCAATCGAGAAGCGAGCGTTCGATGAAATGTGTTTGAAACTGTAGCGGTGGCCCACAGAAGCCCACCCAACCCACCCCTAAAACAGGGGGAGGAGACTGGAACCCAAAAAGATGCGGAAGTTGAAACACACATATATATATATATATAGCTACTAGTAACAAGAAACTTCTAGGTGGAGGCATAGTATGTCTCACATTGACCGCCCCCCACCTACCTCACCTACCTGACCGCCCCAGGTGACCCGCCGGGTGACCCACCTCTCGTCAGGTCTCGGAGACCTCCCATCTCTCGGCGCTGCTTTCCGCGCTGCGCGGCGACCAGGCGGCGACGGGATTTTCGGAAGGCGTTCGGAAGGTCTTGGCGTTCGGAAGATCTTGTGTACTGATTGAGAGACCTGACTAAGCTTCTCTCTTGGTGTCACTGAGACGGAACGCGCCGCCATTTCAAGGACTTATATAATGACTTAATCATCGCAATTCAGCCCAGTCTCTCTACATGTTTGGTTGCAGAAGAGTGTCTGATCAGACGATCCCTGAAAGATAACGTCACATATTTTGCATATCTAGGCTAGGAATGGCTAGGATATGTGGATCTTTTTGGCCACAATTTCTCAAATCTGGCAGAGTACCCTCTAATAGCGAAACATTTTTTTCGTCATTAAAAGGTGTCCTCCAAATCAGGAGATTGGGAACGTGGGAATTGTTGCTACTCTGTTTAATTTTGCTACTCTGCGTGGCATGTCATTGCTGTGCGTCAAATGTTGTACAATGTCAGGTGAAGACTGGACACAACTCCCTTATCATTTGACTGTTGCATGTTTGTATAGAACAATCTGAGATGTCATATATTTGTGTTGAAAGGCTGAGAAAAGATGGCCAGAATCTGCGGAACTATTTTGGGCATTCAGACTCTTTGCGGAACCTGCCGGGATTGGCCGGTACTGCCGGGTACAGTCCAATTGAAGAAGAGCAGTTCATGGGAACGATACGGTTGATCCGCAGTCCATTCTTCACTGTAACATCCTATAACGCAGATATTCGAACAGGACGGCAGTTCCACTCCAAATGCCGAAAGGTGGCCCCCTCCATCCTTGTTTAAGGTGGTGCAGGGTGCCTTGTTCATCCGTTGGAGTAGAACGACGAACGACTCTTTACCTCCAGCCCAGCACACCGGGCTTGGGTTGTGTGGAGAGTATGTGGATCCCCTTTGCTACAGGAACAGGAACCTGGCCTTCAAGTTGTCTTATAATACATTTTCCATCCCTTCCATCAACTTCCATCCCTTCCATCCGTGCCATCCGTGCCTGGCTTCCTTGCTTCCTTGCTTTCTTGCTTCCCTTTCCTTGTCCTTTTCCTTCTCCTTCTCCTTCTCCGTCTCCCTCTCCCTCTCCTTCTCCTCCTCCTTTTCCTTCGTTCCTTCGTTCCTTCGTTCCTTTCTTCCTCCCTTCCCTTCCCTTCCTGCCTTCCTGCCTTCCTGCCTGCCCACAGCCAGGCTTGGGTACTGATCCACAGAACATCTAGCCTTGACCAGCATCGGCTCTCATTTGTTTTGTGTTGTGCCTCAAGTGGCCGAAGAATGACGAAGAGCATTGCGCCTTCCACCACATTCGTGTCCATCTTCTGGGTTTTTGACCTACCTGCAACAGCCTGAGCTGTGCCGCCACCGTTCGGCCTGGAGGTTTACAACTTCACCATTTCGGCCTGCAACAGCGTGGGCTGCACGTCGTCGCTGGAGAAGACCTGGAGCATGGCGGCCTCGGCTCCGCCTCAGGTGGAGGCCCTTCGTGTCCAGGCAAGACTGAGCACAGGGAGGGAAAGGGAAGACTAAGGGACAGGGAAAAAGTGTTTTTATTTTTTTCCGTTTGATTTGAGGGACTTGTTGCACTGCGACAACAAATCATCATGCTTATTGTAAGGGCTCCGCCCTGGTGCCGCCGACCCCTTTTTTGTGAGACAAGGCAGCATGGCGAGGAAGGCAACAACCGAAGTTGGACATAGTGCTCCCCAGCTACTCTGCGTACTAAAGTTGTATTGCTAAGTCGCCACT